ACCCTAAACCCTAAACCCATAAAGGAACCCAAAGTCTGAAGTGTCAATGGAACAAGGCGCCTCCAACGAGGTCAGTGTGGCAAGCTACTTTCAGGCCATGCGGTTTTGGGTTTAGGGTTTAGGGTTTGAGGTTTAGGGTTTAGGGTTTGAGGTTTAGGGATTAGGGTTTAGGGTTTTGGGTGTGTGTCAGTGCCGCGTCCCGACCCCGCGCCAGTCGGGCCGCTCCAGTGCAGCGGATCCCACCCCAGCCACCCGAGGTAATTTTTGTCGAGGGTTTGTCGAGGGTTTCCAACGTTTTCCAGTTTGCCGTACCACTTCGGGTCGTTCACGAGTGCGCGGTGCAGTACTCTGAGATCGCAATGGTCAGCACCACGACGGATAGAACTGCGACATGCTGTAAAAGTCCGGCTCGTCCCGAAAGCGCCTCGGTCCCGTAAGAGTCCCTTCGGCGGCACGTCCCGTAAGAGAGTGCCTCCGTCCCGTAATTGTAAGAGCCCGTAAGACGGCTCGTCTCGGCTCGTAAGAGTCCCGTAAGGAGGCTCGTCCCGTAAGCGCCTCTGTCCCGTAATTGTACGAGTCCCTTACATACGGTGCCCGGCCCATGGCAAGCAGTGCCACGTCAGCTATGGTAGACTCGATCTGCTTGGCAAAGCAAGCCCCTCGTCCCGTAAGAGTCAGGCTCGTCCCGTAAAGGCCTCAGCCGCCCGTCCCGTAACTCGTCCCGTAAGCGCCCCGTCCCGTAAGCGCCCCGTCCCGTAAGCGCCCCCGTCCCGTAAGAGTCCTGCTCGTCCCGTAAATGCCTCGGAGGCACGTCCGGAAGCGCCTCAGTCCCGTAATAAACCTTCGTCAGGAGACCCGTCCCGTAAGCAAGAGTCGTCCCGTAAGCGCTGCGTGGTTCGTGGAGAAGGACGACGAAGCTGCCCGAGTCCCGTAAGAGTCCCGTTCGGCTCGCCCCGTAAGCTTGTCCCGCAAGAGTCAAGTGGCTCGTAAAGGAAGCGGCTCGTCCCGTAAAAGTGTCCCGTCCCGTAAGCGCCCCCGTCCCGTCAGGTCCGCTCGTCCCGTAAAGGTCTTGGCTCGTTCCCAAGAGGCACTCGTCCCGTGAGCGCCCCTCCCGTAAGAGTCCGGCTCGTCCGTAAGCGGCTCGTCCCGTAAGCGCACCGTCCCGTAAGCGCCCCCGTCCCGTAAGTCTCCGGCTCGTCTCCTACCGGGTCGTCCGGTAAGCGCCTCGGTCCCGTCTCGGTCTCGTAAAAGTCGCGTGAGGAGGCTCGTCCCGTAAGCCGTCCCGTAATTGCGTCCCGTAAGAACCCCCGTCCCGTAAGAGTCCGGCTCGTCCCGTAAGGGCCTCGGCCCGTAAGAGTCCCGTAAGGAGGCACGTCCCGTAAGCGCCTCGGTGCCGCCTCGGTTTGGAGGTCCCGTAAGGAGGCTCTTCCCGTGCCTCCGTCCCCTAATTGCAAGAGTCCCGTAAGGGACTCGTCCCGTAAGAACCCCGTCCCGTAACAGTCCGGCTCGTCCCGTAAGGGCCTCGGCCCGTAAGAGTCCCGTAAGGAGGCATGTCCCGTAAGCGCAACCGTCCCGTAATTGTACGAGAGCTTCCGTCCCCCCGTCCCTCATGAGTCCGGCTCGTCCTGTAAGCGGCTCGTCCCGCAAGCGCCCCGCCCCGTAAGCGGCTGTCCTGTAAGAGTCCGGCTCGTCTCGTAGCGGGTCGTCCCGTAAGCGCCTCGGTCCCGCCTCGGTTTCGTAAAAGTCCCGTAAGGAGGCTCGTCCCGTCAGCGCCTCCGTCCCGCAATTGCAAGAGTCCCGTAAGGGACTCGTCCCGTAAGAACCCCCGTCCCGCAAGAGTCCGGCTCGTCCCGTAAGGGCCTCCGCCCGTAAGAGTCCCGTAAGGAGGCACGTCCCGTAAGCGCCTCCGTCCCGTAATTGTACGAGTCCCGTAAGGGCCGTAAGCAGCCCCCCCGTCGTGTAGGGGCCCGGCTCGTCCCGTAAGCGGCTCGTCCCGTAAGCGCCCCGTCCCGTAAGCGCCCCCGTCCCGTAAGAGTCCGGCTCGTCTCCTGACGAGTCGTCCGGCACACGCCTCGGTCCCGTCTCGGTCTGTAAAAGTCCCGTAAGGAGGCTCGTCCCGTGAGCCGTCCCGTAATTGAGACAGTCTCGTAAGGGCTTCGTCCCGTAAGAACCCCCCATCCCGCAAGAATCCGCCTTGTCCCGTAAGGAGGCACGTCCCGTAAGCGCCTCCGTCCCGTAATTTTACGAGTCCCGTAAGCGTAAGCTTCCGTCCCCCAGTTGCGTAAGAGTCCGGCTCGTCCCGTACGTGCCTCTGTCTCGTAAGCGCCTCCGTCCCGTAATTGTACGAGTCCCCCGTAAGGCGCTCGTCCCGTAAGCGCCCGTCCCGTAAGAGTCCGGCCGTCCCGTAAGCGGCTCGTCCCGTAAGCCCCCCCTGTCCTGTAAGAGTCCGGCTCGTCTCCTAGCAGGTCGTCCCGTAAGCGCCTCGGTCCCGCCTCGGTTTCGTAAAGTCCCGTAAGGAGGCTGGTCCCGTCAGCGCCTCCGTCCCGTAATTGCAAGAGTCCCGTAAGAGACTCGTCCCGTAAGAACCCCCGTCCCGTAAGAGTCGCGTAAGGAGGCACGCCCCGCAAGCGCCTCCGTCCCGTAATTGTACGAGTCCCGTAAGGGCCGTAAGCTTCCGTCCCCCCGTCCCGTAAGAGTCCGGCTCGTCCCGTAAGCGCCTCCGTCCCGTAAGAGTCCCCGAAAGAGGCCGGAAGGCCTTCGGGGGTCCCGCCGAAGGCTGGTCCTGTAAGTGCCTCGTCCCGTAAGCAAGAGTCCCGTATAAGGGACTCGTCCCGTAAGAACCCCCGTCCCGTAAGAGTCCGGCTCGTCCCGAAAGGGCCTCGGCCCGTAAGAGTACCGTAAGGAGGCACGTCCCGTAAGCGCCTCCGTCCCGTAATATACGAGTCCCGTAAGGGCCGTAAGCTTCCGTCCCCCGGTCCCATAAGAGTCCGGCTCGTCCCGTAAGCGCCTCCGTCCCGTAAGAGTCCCCGAAAGCGGCCGGAAGGACCCCGGGGGCCTGCCGGGGTCCCGTAAGCGCCCGTCCCGTAAGAGTCCGGCTCGTCCCGTAAGCGGCTCGTCCCGTAAGCGCCCGTCCCCTAAGCGCCTGTCCTGTAAGAGTCCGGCTCGTCTCCTAGCGCCTCGGTTTCGTAAAAGTCCCGTAAGCGCCTCCGTCCCGTAATTGCAAGAGTCCCGTAAGGGACTCGTCCCGGAGTCCGGCTCGTCCCGTAAGGGCCTCGGCCCGTAAGAGTCCCGTAAGGAGGCACGACCCGTAAGCGCCTCCGTCCCGTAATTGTACGAGTCCCGTAAGGGCCGTAAGCTTCCGTCCCCCCGTCCCGTAAGAGTCCGGCTCGTCCCGTAAGCGCCTCCGTCCCGTAAGAGTCCCCGAAAGAGGCCGGAAGGCCCTCGGGGGGCCCGCCGGGGACTGGTCCCGTAAGCGCGTCCGTCCCGTAATTGCAAGAGTCTTGTAAGGGACTCGTCCTGTAAGGGCCTCGGCCCGTAAGAGTCCCGTAAGGAGGCACGACCCGTAAGCGCCTCCGTCCCGTAATTGTACGAGTCCCGTAAGGGCCGTAAGCTTCCGTCCCCCCGTCCCGTAAAAGTCCGGCTCGTCCCGTAAGCGCCTCCGTCCCGTAAGAGTCCCCGAAAGAGGCCGGAAGGCCCTCGGGGGGCCCGCCGGGGACTGGGCCCGCCGGGGACTGGTCCCGTAAGCGCCTCCGTCCCGTAATTGCAAGAGTCTTGTAAGGGACTCGTCCTGTAAGGGCCTCGGCCCGTAAGAGTCCCGTAAGGAGGCACGTCCCGTAAGCGCCTCCGTCCCGTAATATACGAGTCCCGTAAGGGCCGTAAGCTTCCGTCCCCCCGTCCCGTAAGAGTCCGGCTCGTCCTGTAAGCGCCTCCGTCCTGTAAGAGTCACCGAAAGAGGCCGGAAGGCCCCTGGGGGGCCCGCCGGGGTCGCGCGCTAGGGGTTAAGGGTAACTCCATTATATACGGTGCCCCATGGCAAGCAGTGCCACGTCAGGTATGGTAGACTCGATCTGCTTGGCAAAGCAAGCAGATCTCGAAGCGGTAGCGTTCAGTTGTACCGGCCGCCGCCTGGCGCGGGCGGCCTATGGTTCAGGGTTTAGTGATTAGGGTTCAGGGTTTAGAGTTTTGGGTTTAGGGTTTAGGGATTAGGGTTTAGGGTCTATGGTTTGGGGTTTAGGGTGTAGGGGCATGGGTCTTTGGAGCTTCATTGGGCTTGGGGTTCTTGCGTTTGTTCGGGTGTTCAGTTTTCGTGTGTGCTGATAAAGCGAAGCTTAGACCGAAAAGCGAGAACACCACAAGGCTATTACTCTTACTCGTATTATCATTGTTGTTATTGTTATTATTGTTTTCTGATTAGTATTCTTATCATTCTGCTTGGATGGTCATTGTTGTTATCTGATTGGATTAGAGACTGTCGGGGTACAAGGCCCGTGGAATCCCTGCGGACCTCGCCGATGCCGTGGCTGCGGCCTGCGAAGTGAAGCGTCTGCGACGGAGTGCTTCGGTAAGGAGTTTTGTGTTCAAAGGTTTGGGGCTAAGGGTTTTGCTTTTTCACGTTTTTTGTTGTGATTTCGTGGGTTTTGCATTTTCTATGGTGTCTTCTAAAGGTCTTTGGGGCTTAGAGGCTTACAGTGTGGCTAACAGGTTTAGTAGTAGGGTTTAGGAAAGGATCGACTCAGAGTCAAGAGTTCAGAGCAGTTGAACCTATGCGCGGATTAAGGTTTACCTCGGCCCTGGAATGCAGTACGGTTTTGGATGGCTTATTCATGGTTAGGATCCTATGATTATAAACAAATGTAACCACAATATTACATTTACTACGCTGTTTCTCGGTTAAGGCTGCCGGGCTTCAGGGTTTGGGATTCAGGTTCCAATGAGGGCATCCAGGAGTCCATGATCTCCTCTACGTAGTTCTCCAATCCCCAACCTTTGAATGTTTCGGATTCGCGCAGTTTTGTAGTAATCCGAAAGTTGAATTGATTTTTTTATTATTTCTGTGGCTTCTTGGGGAAGTAAGTCTATACCATTCCAAACCCATGCAAAGGAGTATAATGCCTTTATCTAACACAACGCAGAGCGTGTCCAATAGCGAAGGAGCATCCTCAGTTCAACCTGTTCATAGGCTGAAAACCCGACAATCTACCTTCATTTATGTTAGGAGGCCCCTGCTGTCGAAGGCTTATTCCTTAGCCGTAGTTGGAAGGCAATGTGGGTGCTCTAGGTTACACTACAATCCCTAGAAATGGTTTTTTTTTTTGTGAAACCAGACAAAGTCTTGGCTTTTGCCACAGAATGCTATCAACAACCTGTTAAGCCCAACAAGGCCATAGCCAGAGACTCCCGAACCGCTTGCTTAAGGGATACAGCTTCAATTATATCGAGAATAATTAACCCCTCTGTGGTTTGAATTTTGTAAATGTACGGTACATTCCTTGACTACGCAGTCTGGAGTCCCTGGGTAGAGTAGAACCCTAAACCCTACCCCCTTAAAGCCCCAACTCCTAAACCCTCAAGCCCAAAACCCCGCAGCGCCCGTTCAAATCGCGACACTCGAATCTAAGCTTGACCCCACATCGCAAAACCCTAAACCCTAAAC